GATTTACCGTCACGGACTTGACTTTACAAATCTTATGCTTTCCGTCGCGTGTATGACCTGCGATCATGCGAGTATTTTTGGCAAGGGACAAGGATGATATGTAGGGAGGGAGGGAGGGTATGATCGCAAGTTATCACGCGTACGTCAAGGGTCCATCACGGAGCCATCATGGACTCAACTGTCTCGTGTTTTACACATTTTGACCGTCGTACCCGATCCATAACCGTCACGGGTTTTACGAGTTCCGTTTTAACTGCGGTTAAGCTAGATTTTGAACAAATTTGCATTATGAATCCGTCTGTTTCCTTGGGTTTTCGTTGCCGTTTGCTGTTCTTGGTGTTGTTTGTGGCGAGTTACACTTTAGCTAAGCCAGGAAATAACGCAAATAGCGACCCGGTCAGTTCTATAGCCACAAAGCAATGTAACAACGTGTATTTGTACACAGCACCAAACCATGAGATTAAAACTACTCTTCAAGAAATGAAGAAACAACTTACTCAATTGGAAGATGACATTAAAATCCTCAAAGGAAACAAGACGACTGTGAAGGGTAAAATCTGTTCTTGTGTTGAATTCTGCATATTTTTTAAAACATTTGGGATGAGTAACTACAAAAAGCTAAAAAGTGTTTAATTCGTTCTTCAGCTACAACTGACTATGAAACCTATTAATTTTTTCATCTTTTTAATTTCGTTTTTCTCGGAGGTTGGGACTTGAATTCTGCATAATTTCCAAGACGTTTAAGATGAGTTACAACGGAACTCGTTAGTAACTACTAACGCTGTTTCTATGCAGGGCCAAACAAGAAGATTGAGACTATTCTTCAAGAAATGAAGAAACAACTCGCTCAGCTGCAAGATGACATCAACATCCTCAAAGGAAATAAGACGACTGTGAAGGGTAAGATCTGTTTTTGTGTTGAGACTTGTATTCTGCATAATTTGTAAAACACTGATTTGGGATGAGTAACAACGGAACTCATTCGTAGCCGGTTGATTCTTTCTTTAACTACGATTTATGAAATCCGTTATTTTGGTACTTTTCTTGACAAATTTATTTCTCCGTTTTGTCTTCCATATTGAAGCTAAAACAATTCAGTTGAGCGATAGCAAATTTCGTCATCTTTTTCTCAATAGGCAACTGTGCTGAGTTGTACAAATCCGGTCAAACAATCAGCGGTGTTTATACAATCGACCCTGATGGTTCAGGTGCCTTTGATGTGTTCTGTGACCAAACAACAGCAGGTCGGGGGTGGACAGTGTTCCATAAGAGACTGGATGGCACCGTTGATTTCTACCGCGGCTGGGCCGACTACAA